TACTTATGAATATATTGACACCTAATGTCCAGTGAAGTTTTTCTGAAGGTCATGGATAAAAGTATTTAAAACACACTGACATAGAAGGTAATATGAAATAGGCCGTGGTAACTATTTGAGCAAGATGGGACAGGCTAAAAGAGTATGGTGAGGTTGACTGTGGCTAGTCAGTTCCTGCGTGTGTTCAGTTTTGGATACAAAGTTTGAGGAGTTTATGAGCCCCTAAGAGATTCTATCTAGGAAATAGGCAGGTAATGGGTCTGAGACAGAAGAAAGAAGCCGAGATTGCAGGTATAGATTTGAGGGTCATCAAAACATTAAGAACAACGAAACCCTTGGGAAAAGTCACTAACACCCAGAAAGAATATATGGAGGGCAAATAATACAGGACAGAAGTGAAGGAACCCTGAGTCACACCAACGTATAAGGTCACACCAATGAGGAAGAAGGCATGGGGAGGAAGTCAGGAGGAAAACCAAAAGAAAATGAGATACCAAAAACCCAAAGAGGAGAGTTTTAGGAAGACAGAGCCCAGCTGTTCAAACGTGGCACAGAGGTTAAGAAAACTGAAGTCTGAGCACCCATGTTTGGTCACTGAAGCTTCCATGAGAGAAATTCCTGGAAAAAGGTAGGGCAGAAATGACATTTGCCTAGGACTAAGGGATTTCTTGTTATGGGGAACTTCAGTGCTAAAACTGGAACAGTCTCAAGCAAACTAGAATGGGTGGTCACCCTAAGACTCAAAAGAGTTAAGGTTTACATAGCGGGTAGGGTAGAAGCAAAAGTGTAGATTCTTTATCAGAGAGTTGACTCTTGGGAGAAAAAGATGAAGAAATATCTAGGAAGGTAAACAGGGTTGTGAGAGCTTTTCACTTACTTACTCCTCTTTGTTCTCTCTTTTAAATGTCATGCTAAAGGTTTATTTCTAGCATGAGAGAAGAAAGGGGAGCAAGGGTGAGGCTGAAGATATGGCTAATAAGGAGAAGATGGAGCAACAGTCTGTCCTTGTGAGGTAGGAGGGAGGATCCTGAGCCATGAGGGCAAGAGAAGGTCCTGCTAGCTGGAGAGAGAGATTATGTGCTAAAGTGGGGTGAGAAATGGAGGGATGTCACAACACATGGTCTCCATATTGTCAGGACCTGGGAATGAGAGAAGAGATAGGGTGGAGACTTGAATAGAGATGGACAAAGGCTTGGGGCATGAGGAGGATACAGGAAGACACTAAAATACATTCTACATACCAAGGAACACCCAGCTGAGACAGAGGATCATGACTATGCGGCATGCAAGCATAATTATTATGACCAGCCTGCCCAAAGCCATGCAATTACAAGCATATTATAACATATTTTGAGTCTTGAAAAATAAAAATTATAACATATTTCTAGTATTGAAAAAATTGCACAGCCATGGTGGCTCATGCCTGTAATCCCAGCACTTTGGGAGGCTGAGGCCAGTGGATCACTTGAGGTCAGGAGTTCAAGATCAATCTGGCCAATGTGGTGAAACCCCGTCCCTACTAAAAAGACAAAAATTAGCCAGGTGTGGTGACAGGCACCTGTAATCCCAGCTACTCGGGAGGCTGAGGTAGGAGAATCACTTGAACTCAAAAGGTGGAGGTTGCAGTGAGCCGAGATTATGCCACCACTGCACTCTAGCCTGGGTGGCAGAGTGAGACACTGTCTCCCCCGCCAAAAAAAAATCTCTATGGGCAGGGATGTGGCTAAGCAAGGGATTAAAAGAAGACTCTAACAGGTTTCAGCAGAAATTGATATAACAGAGGAAACAAGTTTGGTCCTTGGTGGAATGATTACTAATGGGCACTACTTACTGTACACTACTTACTGCAGTAGGTGACATGGTCAGACATGTATGTAACAGGATGGATTGGAACCTTGACATAATGTCAAACCTTGGCTGTCTGCTACTAAGCACTGTCCCCTTCCTCTGTTTACAGAGTATTTACATATGCCTTATGCCAAATCACAGTAACACTTTGTGATAGACTGTTATCCAATTTTTCCAATGGGTAAACCATGCGTCAATTTGGTTAAGTCACTGGTTCACAGCTGGTAAATCAGCAGACATGAGATGCACCTAAGTTAATTTAGCCCCTCCCCTTCGTCTTTCTTATTTGTTACCTATAACAATGAAGGTAACACAGGCCATCTGTAGGATTCAAAGGAAATAAAGTATATGAAAGCACCAGGCACCCCACACTATGTATACATTTCTCTAGCATAGTGGTTCTCAACTGGCAGTAATTTTACCTCCCAGGGAGACATACGGTAATGGGGATATTTTTCTATCGTCACAGCTAAGGCAGTGCTACTGGCTTCCAGTGGCTAGAGGCCAGGGATGCTGCTACACATCCTACAATGCACAGGATAGCTTCCACAGCAAAGACTTATGACACCCAAAATATCAATAGTGCTGAGGGTGAAAAACTCTACTAGTAGCATAAAACAGGGAACTTAGAACCACACACATGTACAAAGCCCAGAAGAGCATGGCAAGTAACAGGCAGGTCTTGGTACTAGGACACTTATATATCTGGATCTTGGATCCACTACTTGCTGTTAACAAGTAATTGATCCTACCTGAGCCTCAGTTTTCAAATAGGGATAATAACGGTACTGTATTAGTCTGTTCTCACACTGCTGTAAAGATATTACCTGAGACTGGGTAATTTATAAATGAAAAAGGTTTAATTAACTCACAGTTCCACATGGCTGGAGAGGCCTCAGGAAACTTACAATATTGGCAGAAGGCAAAGTAACAGCAAGGCATGTCTTACACGGTGGCAGGAGAGACAGCAAGGAAGTGCCACACTTACAACCATCAGATCTCATTAGAACTCCCTCACTGTCCTAAGAACAGTATGGGGGAAACCGTCCCCATGATCCAAACACCTCCCACCAGGACCCTCCCTCATACAGGGGAGTTACAATTAGAGACGAGATTTGGGTCGGGACACAGAGCCAAACCGTATCAAGCACCTACCTCATGGAAATACTAAGAGGTTCAGTGAGTTAGCGCTTAGCTTAAATGCCTGAGACATTAAAACACACAGTGTTGATATTATTATTAATGAAATGTATAGCAAGCTAAACCGTAGGAAAGAGATAACTAGTTTTACTACACTAGGTAAGAAAGGAGAGGAAAATTAAGAAACTTTACAATGACACTACAGTCTTAATAACAGTCAGAGGGTTATTAATGTTTTCCTACTGTGCAAGTGTATCCTGGATTGTATTCACAAAAAGTAGTTTAGACAAATTAAATCATTATTAAGTGATATTTTCTGTTAGCACAATGGAATTAATCACCTTTCACCACCGTAGAAGAAATTCAATAGACATTAGCTTTCTGGAGTTGCAAAAGTCCTTTTCATCATTAACAGTACTAGTTGCTCCATTTCCTGTGGCACTTTCTTAAGAAAGATTTTATTCAGAAGAAAGTGATTTAGTGATAGCATTTATATCTACCATTGCTTAATACTCATTTTTTTTTCAAAAATTCTTTTCTGAACATATCACAACGCTTTTGATTTGTGCAAATATGAATCTGGATTTTTACATCTATTGCAGTAACAACCCGGTTTTCAACTAACTCTCATCCAGACATTCCTGCAATCAATCCTGGTTGCCTTGAAGCCAAGCAGCCAAGACCAACCTGGCAGGTCTACAGCACCAAAGGCTCCTCTTTTCCCTCCAGCTGCTCAGTTCCCACCAGTCCTTCCTCCCCTGACCCTTAACCATCCTGATGGTGCTGCGTGTCCTCTCTGACACATTCGTCGCTGGTAAAAATATTTCTCTTTTCTCCCAAATCTCCCTTGGACAACAGATCATACACCTCCCTCCAGAGCCCCTTAAGATTCCACTCATCAAACCTGCTATTCAGGGAACAGAAACTCCTATGCAAACTTCACATCCTTCTCCATGCCCTTCCGTGGGGAGGGTGTGGGTATAAGGACTGAGGAAACACAGGGAGGCAGAAAACAACAGAGGTGGTGGGGGTGGGCTGCGGAAGGAGAAAAGGAGGAATGGTAAAGAGGGTGCACAAACTGCAAAGGAAAGGGCAATCACCAGGCAAGTCGACAGTCCCCCCCAAAAAGCATGGGACTCACAACTCTGTTTCCATGTGCAGAAACCATTCATGGTATACACAGCAGAACTAGTCAAGCACTGCCACAACCTCAAGACATTTTATATATTCCCCTCTAAACTATCCAGCCAGCTGTGAACTGAGAGTGGAACATTATAGTCCTCACCTTCTCAGAGCAGGAAACTTGATACAAGGAGGTTACATTTGCCCACTCCTCTCCCTCCCAAAGTGGCTGGAAACTGGGGAAAAGACAGGAGAGAAATGGACTCCAGGTGTGCCAGATTTAAGTCTCCTACATAACAGAGGTGCAAGAAAAGCCGACCGAAAGAAATAGAGCAATGAGAGGCCAGGAAAAGAAAGATGGACAGTAAGCACTGGGGCTGATAAGGGTGGAAGGAGATGGAAGCAGGAAGTGGACGGGGAAAAGAAGTCAAAGGGTGACAGAAGAGAACCCTACCCAAGGACCAGCACAGGAGGTCAGCAGTGGACCACTGGCCTCCGTCCTCAGCCACACGCTCACCTAACAAGGCTAAGGGACCAGACGGAAAACTGTCCTGTAAGAAAACACCCAAATCAGTAACGTCTCTGTTCCATTCTTTTCAATATAGGCTTTAATTCAAAATGCACTCAAGGAGAGGGAAGGGAAGGACTACGGCACTGTTTAGAAGGGGCAATTACAGTAAATACACTGACCTTCGCTGAAAAACGGCAGGGAACAGGTGGCCACAGAAGCCACCTCTTAACCCCTTCTGCTGCCCCCACCCCATATCCCAAACCGTCTTGGTTTCTTGGCTCCTCTGGTCCAGTAAGAACCTACCAACGTGTTTTTTTGTTTTTTGTTTTTGTTTTTGTTTTTAACACTTGAGGCTGTGATTAAACAATCCCAACTCCTCTTTCTTTTTTCTTAAGTTGCTTTTATTAATTGAAAAATCCAGTTTCACCTTCGCGTGCGTTTTTTTTAAATCCGGTTTCATCTCCACGTGCGTTTTCCCAGCGTTCTTTAGATTTAGGAGTAACCCCTGGAGGAGCGGCGCTCTCCATAGCCGTCTCTAATGGCGGGAAGGGTGCCTCGAAGTCAGTCCCGGTGCGCTCCCTCCTCCCCCGGCGCCCCTTCCCAAACCCCGTCGGGTCTCCAAAGGCTGGAGAAGGCGTTGCGGCTGTAGCCCGCGCTGTAATCGTAGGACACCTGATGGGGCGGCGGCGGCGGGGGCAGGGCGCAGTCTGGAAAGAAGGGGGTGAAAGAGGCCAAATGGCCCGGCCCGTCCTCCCCGCCAGGAGAGTCCGCAGCGGCGGGGTACAGGGCGCGCAAGGGCTCGTTCAAGGTCAAGCCGCCGCGGGGGGCAGTCAGGGGCGGCTTCTTGGTCGGGGGGCAGGCCGGAACGCTCCAGGGCTCGGGGTACAGTAGGTTTCCCACCACTGCCGGCGGCGGCTCAAAGAGGCCGGGCTCCAGCTCCGGCGGTCCCCGCAGTACGGAGGCTCCGGTGGGGAACACGTCGAGAGGCTCGGCGGCCAGCAAGACGGCCGCCTCGGTGCCGGCGCCGTAGTCGGGCCCCAGCAGCTCGAAGAACTCCACGGCCTCCGCGCCCTTCTCCAGGTCGCCCAAGCTCACGTCCGGCCCCGACGGGCCACACCCGCCGCCGCCCGCCCGGGACGGCTCCGTGAAGAAGGACGGGGGCAGATTGCGGGCCCGCAGCGGGACCTTCCTGGCCCCTGGGACCGCCGCGCCCCCCGCGGGGCCGGCCGCGTCCCCTCCGGCGCCCCCAGCGCCAAGCCCGGCCGCCGGCGCAGCCACCGCACCCCCCGCCGGCTCGGCGCCCCCGGGAACGTGGCGCAGTGAGTCGAAGAGCGCGGCCAGACTCCGGCTTTGCAAGCTGGCGGCCGCCGCGGCCTGCGACGCCTCCCGCCGGGGGGCGGCCTTCCCGTGGGCTGGGGCCGCGACTGTCGGGGCGCCCGGGGCGGCCGGCGGCCGTTTGGCGGGCGCGTCGGCGGCGCTCGGGGAGGGCGGGCCGGGGGGCGCGGCGCCCATGAGGCCGCTGCAGCGCTTGATCTGCTTCTGCAGGTACTTGCGGTGGTTCACCTTCCTCTTGGACTTGCCGGGCTTGTCCAGCGCCAGCTTGATGTTGCTGGACGCCGAGTCAATGAAGCTGAGTAGATCGCGTGTGGCCTCGCGCACGTCCCCTCCCTCGGCTCCCGACAGCAGCGCGCCCGCCGGCGCCCCGGTCTCATCGTCCTCGAAACAGCAGCCCTTGTCCAGGGCTCCGAAGGCGCCCCCTAGCCCGTCCGGGGAGCCCCCGAAACCGAAGGGCACGAAAGGGTGCGTGCTGAGGAGCGCCGCCTGCACCGCCATCGCCTCGGCTCCCCGGCCGTCCGCAGCGCCGCCCGTGCGCCCCCGCCGGCTCCTGCCCGCCGCCCAGGCCCGGCTCCCGTCCCGGCGCGGCGCGCGCGGCGCAGCCTACTAGCTCCGGGCCTGGCTCGCAGCGCGGCCTCCCGGGGGAGCTCATTAGGTCTTGTAAGCGAGGGGCGGAGGGAGCGAGTGCGCGGCGACCGCCCCGGTGGTGGAGGGGAGGGGCTTACTGAGCCTGGCCTGGCGGGGCGGGGGTTCGCTTTAGTTTTCCGAGCTTTCTCGAGCTCATCGCCTTAACCCCTTCGTTTCCCTCTGCCCCGCGGCGTTTCTCTTGGCTCCTCCGACCGCTTGGGGTGAGGAAGAGATGGCTGGTGCTGAAATCCAGCTCAGATCGGTGAGGCCGCTGCAGCGCTTCATCTGCTTCTCCAAGTACTTGCGGTGGTCCTGAGGCAAGAAGGCAGGAGTCTGGAGGCGTGGGTTTCACTGGGTTTCAGTCCAGCTGTATAACAACAACCGCCAGCCTCTGGAAGCTTGCTTCCGCCAGGTGCTGTCCGTTCATTATCTCATTGAATCCTTAACAGCCCTGTGAATTACATATTATTATCTCCATTCAACAAATGGGGACACTGCGCCTTAGGGAGGATCAGTGAGTTAGCGAAGGTCAGATCTAGCCCAGTCGGACTCCAAAGCCATTCCCAATCCCTTGACAAAATTTGCGTCCTTTCTTGGCCTTGTCTTTCTCATCTACCAGATTGGGAAGGAAAATTAGTATTTCTTAAAGCTCTAGATCTGATCCTAAGATTCTAACCTGAGTTTTCCCAGGACTCTCAAGCCCAGTGCTCTTTCTTCTTGACTGCCGCTTGATTGTTACAAGTGATAACAGTAAATTGATACATAGCCAGAGGCAATGGAGAAAGGAGTTCATTTGGCTAAGCCAGCTGTTACTGGAGAATACCGTGTGTGTGTGTGTGTGTGTGTGTGTGTGTGTGTGTGTGTGTGTGTGTGTGTAAAGCTCGGTATGTTGAAACAAAAGATGGAGTGGAACCTCTCCCCTACCTGTCATACCATTTAGGTTATCCTGGAATTTTTGCTGCATTTTGAGGATCATCTTGAAGTTCATTTAAACCCAATTTCCCCTGGGTAATCCTCTTGGGCTAGATAGAGAAAATGAGCAATAAAGTCGTTTTCACAAGAGATGCAGAAAAGACTTGGGTTTCTGGTCTTAGCCACCACTCAATCCCCGTGACTTAAGTTGAAATCCTTGCTCTGCTGAGGACACGGCTTTAGACAAACCAGCGTACTCTCTGTTTAGCTTACTCATGTTAAAGGCAGGTAGGTTTGCCCTCCCCACAGGGCACTTGTGATGTTTAAAGGAAACACTGTGCTGTTCCATAGCCTGGATGAGTATTCACCTTTACTTTTCTGAAACACAAAAAGGTGACTATATTTCCTTATGTGTCTTCTGGATCATAGGGTGTTCATGAGCATTCAGTGAGATTACAAATGCTTATCAGTTTATGATGGTGCAACATTCTGATAAACACATCATAAGTTGAAAACATTATAGGTAGAAATGCATGTAATGCACTGATCAATCCCTTGTAAAGCTGGAAAATCATAAAGTTGAACCATCATATGTTGGGGACTGTCTGCATATGAAAACATTGTGTGCGTGATAAAGTGTTCTCTAAATTACTCTAGTTTAGATGCAAAGCCTGCATGAAGAGACATAGACCATCTCTTTCAAAACTCTTTTCATTAAGCCTCATTTTGTAGATGCAGTGAAACCATTTTTGAACACCATGAAGCCACAGCCTTGCCAAAGAAAAAGGCCCAATGAACATCTTTCATTTAGAAGATGAAGTATCCACTTCCCAAACCCACATAGCTGAGCCAAACTTTTTGTTTTAAATTTGAGTTGGGTCAATTATTCATGTACCTTTCATTTGAGTTACGCACAGCATTTTGTCCTCCATGGCTGAACTGTCTGTTTTACTCTTGGTGGCATTCACATTCAGAAAATTGTGCAAACCTGTCACTGTTTTGTACTTCTTACCCTCCAGATGTAGATGTCAGCACTGCCCTTCCCCTTTCCAACAGGGCTATTCCAGGTCTGGCAGCCAAAAACACTAACTTTTTTTTTCCACCTTCTGTCAACTAAGCAACTGTTACAAATCCTTGGACACCAATTGCACAGTACTCTACATTTAATTGACATCTTAGTCTGAAAAATCTCTTAATCCCCAGAGTTATCTAAATCCTAAAATAATCATATTCAAAATAAATGGAATATGAAAAGCTTCATATTAAAAGTCTTTCTTCAATTCCAGTTAATTGGAGTTCTGTGCATAAAAGTTGATTTAAAGTTAGATGACACCAGGTTCAAATTCTGACCCCGCCTATTGTGAGGTAAAAATCTTTGGACAAGACAGTTCATCTTTCAAAGGCTCAAACTCCTTATCTGAAAAAACGGAAGGTCATAATTGTTCTCAGGGTTCTGTGAGAATTATATGACATAACAGTCAAGTAATGCCTCTGTATCTTACTTTTCTCATCGGTACAGTGGAGATAATCTCAACTCCTCAAGGTTGTTGTGAGATTTTATATATATATTTATTGATATAATTTAATATATAATTGTATTATAAATTATATATATTTATTTTGTATATATACACCTGACACAAAATAGTTCAACAAATGTCCATGTTCTTGATTCCTTAGGCCTCACCCATTCCTTACCAACACATCACCCCATGAAGCCAGCATCATTTGTCCTTTTCCTCAGCAAAGTGAGTGACTATTTTCAAATTCAAGAGAGCAACCATACTTGGAGGTCGTAGAAACTTACAAAAAGGCCACGAAATATAGGAGAGAGAGTGCTAAAACTGGAGCCAGAGACTCACACTGGAGTTCAGTCCTGCCTTTATTATCTGAATGCCTATGAAAATGTCACTTAACCTTCAGGATATCAATGTTCCCATCTATAAGTGGGGAATGATAATGAAATCCTATTTGGTAGGGCTATTGTGACAATCAGTAAGATAATGGAAATTGAAGGTTTTATAAACCAATAAGCTCTATATACAAATAAAGAAATTCATGGCTTAGAAGTTCTATAGCCTGATTCACAAAATTGATCCTTACACATAAGTATCCATCCAGTTACTTATTTTTTCCAACGGAAAGATATTGACACCCACAATGTGCTTAGCACTATGCTATTACTGGGGATACAGAGATAAAAAGCCATGATTTCTACCCTTTGAGTGGAAAGACAGACATGCAAACAAGTCATTGTAATACAATGTGATACACCTCTCAGTGGAAGTAAATTAAAGTTACAATAGTTGATGAAATAAAAGGACCCGCAAGTCTGCTCATAAGAGTTGAGGAAGCTTGCATAGACAAGTAGCATTTGAGTTAGGTCTTAAATGATACATCTGACTGTGTCAAGCAAGCACATAATATCTCTGGCAAAGAGAACATCCTGGGCAGAGGCATGGCTAAATGAAAGCAGTGGTGTTTATGGAAAAATTTAGGCAATAGGGCAACAAATAACAGCTTCTGCTTGAAGTAATTTTATACCTGACACCACAATAAATCCTTAAAGCTTCCACTGTCCAACTAAATTGTACATATAGACCCAGCCTCATGGCCTTGGTTGCTTTTTCCCTTGATCTCCTTTCCTTTAAGGAAGGAAGAGCTCTATATGGAATAAAACTGCTTTCAGGAACGTTAGTGGCCAGCTCCTGCCAAGCCCATTCGTCCCTCCTCCTACTCCCTGAGTGAGCACATTCATTTGAGTGGCTTTGACATCAATACATTTCACTTCCTACGGAGCAGAGGGACCCGGCTCCAGCCTGCAGTAGGGGCTCTCTGCAGAACTCCAAACTAGAGCTCTTTCACCCCAGTGATGCTTAATGCTGTGCAAGTGGGATTAGTCTCCTTGGGAACCAAGTCCCCCAGGGGCTCAAGGGCTGAACTCGCCCCAAACCGTTTGGGAGAATTGAGATTTCATATTGTTCTTTTACACTTGGATTTCAAGACATTACTTAGACAAAAGCCCACCTGAGAGCTGCCTCCTTTCTTGTGGGTAAATATAGCAGCAGGATCAAAAGCTGACTTATTTATTTTGTTTTCCTCTTTTGTAACTTTAATCATATTCCCTGCAGGACAATCTTAGCCCTCAGAGATGTCAGGAATGCACATTCATAATGAAAGAAATAATTACGCATCTGTTTTTCTCTCTCTTCCCAAATCAATTTCCTGTCATTCATTATTTTTAAAATCTCAAATAAAGCAAATTAATTCCTCAATTTTACCACACAATTTATAAAGTATCATTATCATCACAATACAATGTTACCTTACAAACTGTGCACCCTCAAAAATGTCTCTTTACTTTCTTATTGTTTTCCCCTGCAAACCAGATTCTACTAACACTAGATTTTAATTTCTAGCTTAAAATATTAGATGTTATTCTGATTATCTGTAGTTATACAGCAAATTACTCCAAAACTTAGTGGCTCAAATCAACAACCATTTTATTATATCTCACAATAATGTGGGTAAGTAATTTGAGCAAGAGCTGGTTAGGTGATCCTCCTGGTTCTTGTGACATTGACAATGGCTGGCCTAGAGGACTCAACATGGCATCATTCACACGACTGCACCTATGCCTACACATGCTGGCCTCTCCAGTATGTTGGTCTAAGAGTACTCAGACTTCTTACTTGGAGCCTCAGGAATCCCAGAGGCAATGCTGCAAGAGGCCCGTGTGGCACTTGCCAGGCTTCTTATGATATAGCTCAAGAATCCTCAGAATGTCACTTCCATGACTTTCTATTGGTCAAGCAAGTCATTAAAGCCAGCTCAGAGTCAAAGAAAGGAAAATTAGAATTTACCCCTTGATGGAAGAAAGACAAAGAATTTGTTTGCTATGTCTCTTAAATCTCTTTTAAATCTATAGCCACATACACTCACTGTTTTGTGTTCTTTGTGATTTGTTTGTGGAAGAAACCGCATGGTTGTCAACTTTCCCACATTCTGGACTTGTTTGGTTGTGTCTGTCTCCATGATGCCACTTAACATGTTTCTATGGTCCATGTGTTTCCTGTAAATGAGAAATAGGTGTAGAGGTTTGATCAGATTCATGTTCTTCTTGATGCTATTTTATATATATACTACAAAATGTG